GGAAGTCACCAATAACTGTCCCCAGATACAACAGGGATTAGGGAATGGATGGAAAGAGTGAATAAGACTCAAGAAAGACAAGATGCAACACTGAAAGAACTTGTAACAGAGATTTTGGCAATAAAAAATTTCATCAAGGAAATGAATAACAAGATGACAAGCATGGAGAGCAGAATTAATCTAGCTGAAGAAAAAAATCTCAGGATTTGAAGACCAGAACATGGAATTAACCCGATCTGTAAAAGAAATAGAAAGAGACTCAGAAAGAAAGAACAAAGTGTACAAAAGATGTGCGATTATATCAAGAGGCTGAATCTACACCTGATTGGTATCCCAGAAGAAGAAAGGGAAATTGAGAACAACCTGGAGCAAGTATTCCAGGAGGTAATCCGAAAAAACTTTCCCCATCTCACCAGAGATGTGACCAGCCAAGCACAAGAGATACAGATAACCCCCATAAGACATCACATGAGAAGACCGAATCCTAGACACACAGTAGTTTGCCTACACAAAGTAGGCACAAAAGAAAAAGTCCTAAAGGCAGCAAGAGAGAAAGGCCAGACTACCTACTGGGGAAAACCAATCAGAATAGCAGCAAACTTATCGGCAGAAACACTGCAAGCAAGAAGGGACTGGAGCCCTATATTCAAAGTCCTCAAAGAAAAGCAATTTCAACCAAGAATTTCCTATCCAGCCAAGCTCAGCTTCATCAGTGATGGAGAATTAAAATCCTTCCCAGACATCCAATCCCTAAAAGATTATGCAGCTTCCAGACCAGCTCTGCAGGAGACACTTAAAAACATATTAAGTACAGAAGAAATAAAAAAAAAGAATGACCACATACTTCCCAAGAGAACAGCAGAGCACAGAATCAACAGAGAATACAGCACAACAAGAAACTTGAAAACACACACATACATTAACCCCAAAACCAAAAGAAAACAAGCAAAGAAAAAACTTTATAAGAACCTTATGACAGGGAGAAACAATCACATTTCAATAATCAGCCTGAAAGTGAATGGTCTAAATGCACCACTGAAAAGACACAGAATGGCAAACTGTATAAGAAACCATGACTCAATTATTTGCTGCATCTAGGAGACTCATCTCACCACATGGGACGCACACAGACTTAAAGTTAAAGGATAGAAAATGAGTTTCAAGGTAAATGGATCACAAAAGAAGGCAGGAGTTGTGACCTTAATATCAGACAAAAAAACCTTTAAGCTATCAAAAATTTAAAAAGATGCAAAAGGACACTACATAATGATAAAAGGTTCAAGCCATCAACAAGAAATATGCATCCTAAACGTATATGCAACCAACACAGGAGCACCAGCATTTATAAAGCAACTATTAAATAAACTAAAAAAAGATATTGACTCTAACACTATTATAGCAGGGGACTTGAATACCCCACTGACAGCCATAGATAGATCATTGAGGCAAAAAATCAATAAGGAGATCCAGAACCTAAACTTGATATTTGGCCAAATGAACTTAATAGATACCTACAGATTATTCCACCCAACAACCACAGAATATACATTCTACTTACCACCACATGGAACATACTCCAAGATTGATCACATCCTTGGCCATAAATCAAGCATAAACAAATTCCATAAGGTTGACATCTTGCCATTCACATTCTCAGACCACAGTGGAATAAAAATAAATATCAACAGCAACAACATTTCCCTAAAGTCCACAAGAACATGGACACTAAGCAGAATGATGCTGAACAACTACTGGGTCAACACTGAAATCAAAGCAGAAATTAAAAGATTTCTGGAAACAAATGAAAATGAAGAAACATCTTATCAAATCCTCCGGGATGCCATGAAAGGCATCAGAGGGGAATTTATATTTCTACAAGCACACATCAAGAAAATGGAAAGATCACAAGTGTAGAGCCTAACAAATCACCTAAGGGAACTGGAAAGAGAAGACCACCAAAACCCCAACTTTAGCAGAAGAATCCAAATCACCAAAATAAGAGCCCAAATATGGTACATAGAAGACAAAAATAACAGAAAACATCAACAAAACATAAATCTGGTTCTTTGAAAGAATTAATAAGATTGATGGACCCCAGCCAGAATGACCAAAAAAAAAAAAAAAAAAAAGAGAGAGAGAAAAAGCCCAAATAAACACCATTAGAAATATAAAAGATCAAATCACAACTGACCCCAAAGAAATATGAAAGATTATCAGAGATTACTATGCACACCTATATGGAAACAAACTCGATTAACCTAAACGAAATGGAGGACTTTCTGACATTACACAACCTCCCCAGATTGAAACAAGAAGACATTGAGACACTAAATAGGCCAATGACAGCTCAGGAAATTGACTCTGTCATACAAAAACTACCTACAAAAAAAAAACCCTAGAGTGGTAGGCTTTTCAGAAGAATACTATAAAACGTACAAGGAGGAGCTGAAGCCAGTCCTATCGAAAGTATTCCAGGCAATTGAGAAAGATGGAATTCTCCCCAAATCATTGTACGAAGCTAACATCAAACTGATACCCAAACTGAGTAAAGATCTAACAAAAAAGAGAACTACAGGACAATATCATTATGAACATAGATGCAAAAATCCTCAACAAGATTCTAGCAAATCGGATCTAAAAACACATCTCAAAAATCATCCACCATGACCAAATAGGCTTCATACCTAGGATGCAGGGCTGGTTTAAGACCATAAATGTAATAAAATACATCAACAGATGTAAAAACAAGAACCACATGATTATTTCATTAGATGCAGAAAAAGCTTTTGATAAAATCCAGCATCCCTTCTTGATAAAAACCCTCAAACATCTAGGTATAGAAGGAGCATACCTCAAAATAGTAAGTGCCATCTAGGATAAACCCACAGCTAACATATTGCTAAATGGATAGGAACTGGAAACATTTCCCCTGAAAACTGGAACAAGACAAGTCTGCCCACTCTCACTCCTCTTGTTCAACATTGTGTTGGAAGTCCTAGCTCAGACAATTAGACAAGAGAAGAAAATCAGGGGTATCCAAATAGGAAAAGAGGAAGTCAAGTTATTCCTCTTTGCTGATGATATGATCCTATACCTTGAAAATCCAAGAGAATCAGTCAAAAACCTGCTTGCACTGATAAAGGACTTTGACAAAGTCTCAGCATACAAAATAAATGTGCAAAAGACAGTTGCATTCCTATACACCAACAACAAACAGGTAGAGACCTAAATTTAAAGCACAATCCCATTCACAATAGCTACAAAAAAATTTAAATACCTCAGCATCTTCCTAATCAGAGAAGTGAAAGACCTGTACAGTGAGAACTAAAAAACACTGCTCAAAGAAATCCAAGACGACACAAACAAATGGAAAAATATTCCATGCTCATGGATAAGAAGAATCAACATTGTTAAAATGTCCATCCTACCAAAGGCAATTTATAGATTCAACACAATACCCATTTCTTCTCAGACCTGGAAATGACAATACAGAAATTCATATGGAAACCCAAATGACCACGAATAGCCAAAACAATCCTTAGCAGAATAAACAAAGCAGGAGGTATCACACTTCCAGACTTCAAACTTTTCTACAAGGCTACAGTAATCAAAACAGCCTGGTGTTGGTACAAGAACAGGCACGTAGACCAATGGAACAGGATAGAGTTTCTGGAAGTAAAGCCTCAATTCCTCAACCAACTCATCTTTGACAAAGTCTCCAACAACAACCACTGAGGAGGGGAGAACCTATTCAGTAAATGGTGCTGAGAGAACCAACTGACCACATGTAGAAGATTGAAACAGGACCCCTACCTATCACCATACGCAAAAATTAACTGTAAATGGATCAAAGACCTAAATGTAAAACCTTAAACTATTAGAATCCTAGAAAACATAGGAGACACCCTTATGGAAATTGGAACTGGCAACAATTCCTATTCAGAACCCTAAAGGCCAATACCTTAAGAAATAAGATAGACAAGTGGGACCTCATCAAACTAACAAGCTTCTACAAAGCAAAAGAAACCATCAAGAGAGCAGGGAGACAGCACACAGAATGGGAAAAAATATTTGCCAACTGTATATCTGACAAAGGTCTAACATCTAGGATCTACAAGGAACTCAAACACGCTGAAAGGGAAAAAACAAACAGCCCCTTTAAAAAGTGGGCAAAAGACATGAATAGACACTTCTCAAAAGAAGATATACAGGCAGCCAACAGACACATGAAAAAGTGCTCAGCCTCAGTCATCATCAGAGAAATGCAAATCAAAACCACATTGAGATACCATCTAACCCCAATAAGAATGGTTATCATTAATAAAACCAACAACAACAGTTGCTGGCAAGGATGCGGAAAAACAGAAACGCTTTTATATTGCTGGTGGGAATGCAAACTAGGGCAACCTCTCTGGAAGACAGTGTGGCAATTTCTGAAAGAACTAGAAATTGACCTTCCATATGACCCAGCAATACTCCTATTGGGAATATACCCAGAGGAACTCAAATCATTCTACAAAAAAGATACCTGCACATGTATGTTTGTTGTAGCTCTATTCACAATAGCAAAAACATGGAACCAACTATGTTTCCTATCGCAGTGGAACTGGATTAAAAAAGTGTGGTCCATATACACAATGGAATATTATGCAGCACAAAGAAAGAAAAACATATGGACTTCACAGCATGTTGATGGATTTGGAGTCAATAATACTCAGTGATCTAGCACAGAAACAAATATCAGAGTACCATATATTCTCACTCATAAGCGGATCTTGAACAATTATAATACTCTAAGAAAGGAATCGGCAGTAGTGGGAAACTGTCAAGGGAGGTGTGTGGGACTGCCAGTTTAGGGAAACTGCTAGGGGAGGAAGGGGCATACCTTATCCACAAGGGTACCTGCAAAATCAATGTTTGTAAACCTAATCCTGAATTGTACCCTGTATCTTTATTTTTTAAAAAAAGACATTTCAGCACACAAATTAATGAGTTATCAAAGATTTTTAATGCCAGGACATAATACCATTATTTTCCAAGTAAGTGACCAATAAGTAGTGTGAAAACCATAATTAATACAGATGAGCAAATGATAATGTAGTTTTCTATTGTAAAAATATATCTTTACTACTTTCATGAGTCCCATTTGATATTACAAAATACATTTTACTGAAAAAAAATTAAAAACACACTCAGGAAAACAGATATGATAAAAAGGTTGATAATGGATATTAATAATTTAAAAATATTGTCACAAACATGGAAATGTTAACTTCATCACTTGAATATAAGAAAATGGTATAAAACAAAAGGTTGTCAAAATACAGAAGAAGCGATATTTTGAAATAAATGAAGAGTCAAGATCTTGAAGTAGTGACAAGTATTTTTAATGTATGGCAGATACTGAAATGCCACAGGGAAAGTGACCAGAACTGTTTTCTGAAGTAGTGGTGACAAAGGACACATATAGCTCTCAAGAATACAAGAAACGTACCAAATTAACTTACTACCTCCTTCAAATAAAAGTGAGAACCTCTTGGGAGAATTTAAGCACCATTAGAAGACACATCTTACACCAGTTAATGAAATGTTTCGTATTTCAGTAGAAAATTATTTCAATGGTGAAAATGATGTAGGAATCAGAAACATATTCTGTTGAGATACTAGGTAGTTGACACTTTCCCGAACTGAAAAAAAAAACACAAACCATTTCATAAGAAGGAATATAAAGATATTGACTGAATCACATTTGTTCTCACCCTGAATTGTAATCTATGCCTACTGAAACAGCTTACCAGCTGCCACAACTCTGGGATCCTCATGAGATTGATGTCTCCCAGCTGCACGATGATCCGCACTCTCATTCCACCAAAGAACATGAACTGCAGAAAGGAACAGCAAATAGTTTCCAAAACATTTGGCATTAGAAAATAAGAAATAACAGAAAAATGGATTTTAAATGTTCTATTCTTTAAATAAAAATAGCAATACCAGAAAGGTGAAACTAACTATTTTAATGATAAGATTTCAGAAGAGTCAGAGACTTGCTAGAGAAATGTATAAGTTAATTAATTAAACTGGCTTTATAGATGTAGAAAGACAGAAAGCTGGAAAAGTGAAGCACTAAAGTCAAATAGCTAAAGGCACAATCAAGATGAGACCCAAATTTCATGATTTCCTACTACATTTTCTTTATTTTAAAAAAAAAACTAGGATTATAAGAAAACTGTTTGCTATTGAAAATTTATATTATACAAAGAAGAAAATTAAGAATGGCATACTGTTTACCACCTAGAGAAAACCTCTTTAATATTTAGTGTATTTTCTTTAGTAAATATAGCTAAAACCAAGTTATAGTCTTATTGCATTTTACGCTTAATAACATATTTACAACACTGAGTATTTTCTATGGCAATATTAATTTTTAATGGCTATGTAAATTCCTTTTACAAAAAGAGCAACTTTTCATGCCAATTCTATTGTTGTCTATTTAGATTACTTCCAGTATTTCAATATTATATAAAATACTGGAATAAATGTTATTTTTGTGCATAATTGTTTATACATTTTTATAATTGCAATCTACAAATGTTAAATATACAGATAAAAATACAAAATATGAATAATTTCTATACTGTCCAGAAATACCTACTTTTATATTTGGTGTATCTCTTTCCATATTTGTATATATATTTAAGCTAATATGAA